TACCAATTTTACCAGAGTGCGCAGAGTCAGCGGAATAAATTTTGCACTCTATAATTTTTGAGTAATGCTATTGAAAACACACTCTATGTGGCGCTAATGTGGCATTAAATAATAGGTGAAATTAAATAAGTCATTTAATTTCACCTTTTATTTAGCCTATCATTTAATGACACATAAACTGTGTTTTCATCCCCATTGGGGATGAATAACATTACTCATAATTTTTTGGGGTTTAATTGAAATTTTATATTCTTGGTTCTTGGCTGCAATTTCTTTATAAGGGTATTTTTGGAAAATTAGTCATTCTGTTACCATAACAGAATGAATCATTCGGGTAAAGTAGAATTATCCATCCAAGATTTAGGCCTAATGTTTATATTAAAGAAAAGAGGCCACTGTCATCAACCCAAACAAAAGGGCCAAAAAAATTAAAAAATCCAGACATTTTCAATCATCTTCCTTTGTTTCTTTCTCTCTCCCCCCTTTGCAACTGTAAGACTGGCGTGACGCCCGACGCCAGTTGCTACTGAAAATTTCGGCAAAGCTAGCACACACGATCACTCCCTCTCGTCAAGTGTTGGCTCCACCACTCATTATCAGTCTACAGTGACTTGAAAAAAATAATGTAACACTTGTGCATTATCTTTTCTAAAAAATAATATAACACTTGTATATTATCTTTCTCATCAGAAAAGACCTAGCTATTGTTTTTGCAAGAAATCTTTGGCCGACTTTTGTGCAAAAGAACCTTTCTTAACATAAAGCGTTTAGGGGCTAGATAGAAATGGAAACTCCGCCATTTCTGAAAGAAATCTGGAGACTCTTTATTACAAAAAGAATAAAAAGCCAAAATAGGGTTTCCAATTTTCGAAATCACTTCATTACAATAACTCGTGCATAAATCCTAAAGAAATATGAAAGCCACGAAAAAAGAGAATATTTTCGACGCTAGACTTTCTTGTTGTTTGACATGGTATAATTTGAGTAGTTTAGGGTTGGCATTTTTGTGGTTTGAATGCACAAATTACACGTTCATATACAATGTCACGCATATGTATTTCTCGTCCAACGCCCTCAAAAAGTTGAATAACGATATTCATGCCCATCGATGTTTTGAAGTCTATAGCATAGACAATAATCCTTTGTGTAAATCTTAAAGAAATATGAAATTCATGAAAAAGAGATTATTTTAGATGCTAGACTTACTTGTTGCCCGACGTGACATACTTTGAATGATTCAAGGTCGGCATTGTTGTGGTTTGAATGCACAAACTATATGTTCATATAGAATGTCACATGTATTTCTCATCCAACACCCTGAAAAAGTTGAATAATGCTATTTAGTCTCATTGTTACTTAGTAGTCTAGTTGTCAATTAATGGATTGAATATTTTAAATATCTCATATTTAAGACTTTTTGGGAGGGATTAAAATCAGATTAAAATTGAAAATATAGTCGTTGGAGTTGACTTTTATTAGACGAGTGGGATCCAATAACAACTATATTTTCAATTTCAATTGAATTTTAATCCTTCCCAAACAAGTTCTGAATCTATTTGATGTAATTTTTTTAGAATACATATTGTGAAAAGTAATTTTTTGAAAAATGTCCTGTAAAAAAGTAGGAAAAACTATGAATCTACTGTCAAAAATATTTTGTCGAAAAAATGTATAATTGAAAATAATTTTTTAATAATACGTAACGAATAGGATGTCAATTGATTGGATAATATTACTCCAAAAAGTGGATTCCCTTTTTATTTTATTGTCATTCGAACAGACACTTGTAGAAACATCCGCTCTCTTTACAATATATAGACACTTCCAATTAGAGTTTCTTTTTAAGAAAAAGGAGAATCGTATTCCAAACAACTTATTAGAATCTGCTTCTGTCTTGAAATGGGCCATTTTGCTCTCACACACGCACTGAAATGGGAAGAGGAAAGTTCAAGGGCAAGCCCACTGGCCGTCGCCAGTTCTCGACTCCTGAGCAGATGAGTATGTTTTGGTGTTTCCTTCCTTCCCTGTTTTTGTCTATAATAGTTGGCATGTTTCCGTGTATGTATTTGTATAGCTGTTTTTTTTCGAACTTTTCTTGTTTGTTTTGAGATGAAATTGGAATAGTATCAGTGTTTATGGCGGGATTGGGATCTTTGTGGAAAGTGAGGGATTTTGTATTGTCGATTTTCTTAGTGGTTTTTGGTGCTTCAATGTTGATTTTCGCCTAACTCTTGCAGATGATTTCTATGCACTATTGTATCTTTTGTTTTTGAATTTTTTGAAATTGTGTTTACTGCCTCTGGTCTCAGCATAAGATCAACACGCTAGAATTTGGATTCGAAAATTTTTCCTCCAGAGTTGGATTGTATTTTTTGTAAAAAAAAATTTGGTTGCAATTATAAGCCAAGCTTGGTTCAGAGTCCTGATAGGTTTCCCTAAAAAACTTGGAACATTTCCGTTTTAGTGGGGTGAAAGAAATTCCATGGAGTTAATGAACTTTAAATTATTTAATGAAGCACACAGTTCTAGGAAAATATTTACATATAAAAATATATATTTTCAATATGTGGGAATAGAATATCTGTTTTACAAGCAAAACATTATGTTTTTTTTCTAAAATTTTACAAATTCACCATTGCATTTTGGAACCCCTTCCAGAAGACATCTAAAAGGTTTCCTTTTTTCGTTATTCGAAACATCGTCATGGAAAACGAACTTGGACCAACAACTCTAGCTCAAAGTTACATGCAATTAGATACATTTTGACATGTTAAATGAATTCATTTCTTACTTTTCCTTGGAATTTTTTGAATGCTAACCATAAGTAATATGAACTAATGTTAAGAATTGGCTTAGACGACTAACTATTGTTAATTAAAGTGGCTATTCGCGCATACTTGGATTCACGTGTTGTTGAGGCATCTTCTTTAAATGTTCCTACTTAAGAAAGTAAATCTTTGAATATTTAATAGTTCTTTTCCTTGAATTGCTGATATATGAAGATTTATAAACAATTTCTGATTGATATCTTCTTGGATACATGTGAAATGTGTTACCTCCAAAGTAGAATGACACAAACTTGGTTTTACTATAAATTTATGGGTTTAGAAAGCAAGAAAATTTGAAGTTAAAATTATGTGTTTAGAAAGCAAAAATATATGAAGTTAACGTGAAGCAGCTGCAGCACCGGGTGAAAAAAAGATGGAGGGGAGGGATCGTTTAATTTTATTGTCTAGTTTGGCAGTAATGTGTTTTATATTCTCCTTGACTCAACTTTCCTTTTTCTGGATGATTCAGTGGCTGGTACCTGTGCTTCTCGTCCTCGTATGTTTAAGATGGTAAACTATTTTCCATTTAACTTTGCACCCTATGATATTTCCATAGACGTTAATGATCTTAGTTTCAACTTCGTGTTCTGTATCTATTTATATATTATTATATTTCAAATGTGTGTTGGAACAGGCGCAATTTTTTGTGGTTTTAAGTTTATGAATGGTGAAAGTGACTTGATTCAGTATTTTTGTGCAATATGATGATATGAAAATGTATGGCAGCTTCTTAAACAAGCTAATGAAACATGAGAAATTGGCATCTTTGACCCCATAGCCATTCTGCACCTTTTGAATCTTAAGAAGTGAATATCCACAAGTGTTTTATGGATATTGGTGAGGGAGTGGGTGTCATGTTGGCCACTGATAGCACCAATAGAAAATGGTATTTGAATATATCACTTGACTCGATTAATGTTTCTTTTCTTCCTTTTTTCTCTCTTTTTCCACTAGTGGACCCAGTCAGTTACTGGATCTTAGATGATCAAGTATACTTCTGATTTCCATACAATCGTATTTCCTTTTGTTTCAGATGTGTTTTATCTATGTTGTATATCAGGAAGAAGCTGAGCTGGAAGAAGAGGAGAGATCTGAGGAAGAATCAGAGGATGAAGCTGAAACTGAAGTCAGTAAAATATGGCTCATTGCATTTTTCATGTCATATTCAGTGTAGAGGGTTTTTGAGTAGTGCATTCCAAGGTGTCTTAATACTGTCTTTTAATGTAATGTCTAGATAAATAAACATTTGTTCTCTTTTTTGTCAATGATGTACACAGAAGCAGAAAGGCACTCTGGGTATCATTCAGGTTGAAAATCCAAATTCGGCAAAACCAAAGAATGTGAAAGTTCGAGATATCAATGTAATATTCTCATATAAGTTTATCTGTTCAATTAGTAGTTTGTAGTGTTTTTCGTTTACTGAATGATCCTTGTATTTGTCAGATGGAGAAAACTACTGAGCTTTCTAGGCGTGAAAGGTTTGTGAATACTTATTTCTTGGCATTGGATGTGACTGGAAATGATTGAGAAATGGTCTTCTTTTCCTTCCTTTGTCCTTCCCTTTTCTTGTTGGCACAATATAACATGTATAATAAGATCAGAAGAAGAAAACTGGAAAGGTCCAATTCAACTCTCGAATGCTTGCCCGCATATCTTCCTATTATTTCCTGTTTCTTATAAATGGTAGCATCCAATTTTCTTGATGTCAATGTTTTTTATTTATTTGGGGATGCTAGACTTCTACTGTGTTGATTTTGCAGTGAGCTTATTATATTCCCTCCCACAGTGACAATCCACTGTAGATGTGGATAGCATATATCTTGGTGAACTATTCTTGCATGCTTCTGGTTGCAATTTACGGGGCATCTCCATGTAGGCTTTGATAGAGCTGGCAACTCGTTATGTGGTTAAATTTGCCCGACGTTGTTTGCTGGTTACCAGATGATTGATGACTTTTATATTTTGTTTATGAGTTCGTTCTTGAGGACCATTGGCAGGAAAGAAATGATATAAGTTGCATGAAGCTTGAAATGTAGACATTATAAATTTTTATTTTTTAAGAAAACCATTAATTCTTTGAAAGATAAACTAGTCTTTAACTGAAAAGTATGTGCGACTTCAACTGTAATGTAGTGTGGCGCAAAGTTCTATGGTTAACCACTTTGAATGAGTTGGTCTCATTGACCTTTCCGTGGTGTTCTCTTTTTTCTGCTGACTGTTCTGTATCCATAGTATTCACTACTTCATCTTTGTTCTGTCATTGTTTGCAGAGAGGAGATTGAAAGAAAGAAAGCTCACGAAAGGTATATGAAGCTGCAAGAACAAGGAAAGACAGAACAGGCACGGAAAGATTTAGGTAACATAGTTGAATCTGCTCCAGGACTTCGTTTCTTAGCTTTTATTATGTGTTTAACCCATCCCCAACAAAATAAAATGTATAATGGAACAGCCTGTCTTAAATTCTCAGCTTTCTAATAGAGACACAATATTGATTTCCCCATTGATTGATCGAGATTTTTAACCTTTCAGAGCGTTTAGCCCTTGTACGACAAAGGAGAGCAGATGCCGCTAAAAAGCGAGAAGAAGAGAAAACTGGTAACTGCCTGAGTTGGCCAATACTGACAGCTAGCCCTTTGTGTTTTTTAATTGCAATTTTCAGTGGGATCTTATTTGTATTTTCTCGTCCCTGCAGCCAAAGAGAAGTTGTTGGAAGCTCGCAAACTTGCTCCAAGAATTAATGTTAAGCAAGTTTAATACATAAAACAATATTTAGTTAGTTGGTCTGAGTCCCAGGACTACTATATTTCTGTATTGGCACAATAGACGTTCACCCCATCCTCATTGCTGGTTTGTCCATGTTAAACATTAAAGATATATAGATATAAATAAAATGAGGTGGTTCAACATAATATTATTTTTCTGAGAAAACAGGTTATCCCCTGTTTGGTGGCCATTTTTCCGGAAGAAACATTGTTTTAAATAGTGAATTTTTGGATAATGTGATGTTAAAAAGTAAGAATAGGCATTGTTGTTACATGTAAAATATTTTATTAGGTGAATATGTGGTTGAAAATAAGTACGTAGAAATTTTTTATTTTTTTTGTAAGAATGGAAGACAAACAAGGATTTAATATCATTATGAAGTGCTCAGTACTTGGAGGGAAGAGATACTTGAAAAGTTGCCATATCAACTTTTCTTTGGCATAATGTACGAAAAGTAAAAGCTAATTGTTGATTTCGTGGTGCCGTTCTCCGGTAACTTTGGAGTTGGGCCTCAAGGATTAAGCCATAGGTCTAAGTTAAAAATAAAAAATAAAAAATAATAAAATAATATAATAATAATGAGAGGAAATTGCACAGATAATCTAATTAAGATATTAATCCAATGACTAACCACAATCTTCAAAACATTGAGGGACATTTTACAAATTGTCATTTCTTCTTTGATGACACACATTATAATTAATGGAAAGTTAGGATGTTCAATCCATAGATTATAATATTTGGGAAGTCATTGAATATGATCCTTATATACTTACAAAGATGATTAAAGTTGATGCCCAATCAAATCATTCCAAAACCTATAGAGGAGTATGATGAAGATGATAAAAGAAATTTATTTTTAAATGTTAGAGAAAAAAATCTACTTTATTGTGCTTTAGATAGAAATAAATTTAATCATATTAACACATGTGATTCCGTATATGATATTTGGCATGAATTAGAAGCCACTCATTTTGGTACGAGAAAGGGAAGGGAACCAAAATTAATCTTTTGGTTAAAGAATTTGAGTTTTTCTTCATGAAACAAGATAAATATATTGTCGATATGATTACTTGCTTTACGGATATTGTTAATGGCTTTAAAGGCTTCGATCATAAAATTACTAACGGTGAGCTTGTAAGTAAAATGCTTATGTCACAATTCTAAGATTGAAACTCATTAAGAATGTTGATAGAGAATACTAGCGACGTCAACTCATATTCATTGGAATAGCTTTATCGTACCTTGATGACTTATGATCCCAACAACGTTGAAACTTAGGAAAAAACGAGGAAAAACAAAGAAGAATCAAATGAGCCTCCTAAGCGCCAAATAACTTTAACATCGGCAATTGAAGGAAGAAATACAAGTGAAAACATGATTGATGATCGAGTTCTTCTTGTTAAGAAATAGAGTGGTCTTCGCAATAATCGAATGTTTCAAAAGAAAGAAAAAAATGGTGAAGAAAGAAGCAAGAAAATCATTTGTAATGATTGTGACAAACCTGGACACGAGAATTGAATGCCCAAACAAGAAAAGAAATTTGAAAAATGAGGTAAATCTTATTGAAAAACGTTCATATGATGATTTATCTACTTCCTATGATGAAATTCTTGAGTAATTTGAAAAACTTGCCTTTAATCACTTCATTCTCAAAAAGAAACACTCCTTGTTAAAAATGAAATGAAGAATATTTTTGAAACTCAAAAGATTATGATTATTTGATTAAAGAAAATTCTTCTTTAAAAGAAAAATTTGAAGATTTGACTAAGATTGTTTACAAATTCACTGAAGGTAAGAAGAATTTTAGCTTAATACTTGATGATCAAAAATGTGTTTTTGATAAAGGAGAAATTGGGTATAAATCCTTTTTGAAACAAAAATCCTTCAAAAATTTATTTGTTAAAGCATCAAATGCCTCTATTCTAATCACTACTTGTAGCTTTTGCAATAAAAATGTATATGTTACCTATAATTCTCTAACCAAAAAGAGGCCACACTTTGAAAGCAAAAACAAGCGGATTATAGAATCCAATGTAGCTTTTGCAATAAAAATGGATATGTTACCTTTAATTCTCTAACCAAAAAGAGGCCACACTTTGAAAGCAAAAACAAGCGGATTAAAGAATCCACTAAAACTAACTACCAATGACCCAATCTTGTATGTGTACTAAAGATCAAAAATTAAATTATCTTTGTAGATACCAAAGAAGATAAAAAGCAAACGGTTCTTGGATAGTTGATGCTGAAAGCACTTGATCAGAGATAATACATTACTATCAAATTCTAAAAATAAGGATGGAGGTCATTTCATATTTGGAGACAATGTAAGAGGAAAAATATTGAAATTGGAAACATTGGTAATAATTGATTTCCTTCAATTGAAAATGTTTTATTAATGGATAATCTCAAATATAATTTGCTTAGTATTAGTCAATTAAATGATAAATGTTATTATATAAAATTCGGTTTCCAAATGCCTTATTAAGGATGTTACGTCAAAAGAAGTGTTGTTTATAGAAAGTCGAAGTCAAGATATTTATATCATAAATATCGAATTTGAAAGTAATGAAAAATGTTTATCAAACTTAATAGAGGATACTTGGTTATGGCATTAGAGAATAGGTCATGTTAGCATGTACAAGTGAAAAGTTCTTTTAAACCTAAATTACAGCCTTCATCTACAAAACCTCTACAACTTCTCCACATTAATCTTTTTGGACTATCTAGAACTGCTAGCGTAGGCGGTAAATATTATACTTTCTTCATTGTCGATAACCTTTTTAGATATACTTGGATTCTATTTTTGAACCTAAAGGATGAAGCCTTGAATGCTTTGAAACATTTTTGTAAAAATGTTCAAAACGAAAATGGATACACAATTACAACTATTAGAAGTGATCACAGTGGAAAATTTGACAATATCCCATTTGATAATTTTGTGGCAAAAATGGATATGAGCATAGTTTTTCGGCTTCTAGAACTCCTCAACAAAATAGTGTAGTGGAAAGGAAGATTGAAATATTGCAAGAAATGGTTATGACTATGCTTAATGAAAATAGCCTACCAAATATTTTTGGGCCAAAGCTGTTAACACCACTTGCTACATCATTAATAGAGTTCTTGTTAGTCAGAAGAAAACAAAAACTCCCTATGAACTTCGGAAAAATAGAGTTCCAAACATAGGTTATTTCAAAAAAATTTGTTGCAAATGTTTCATTTTGTACATAAAAGAAATTCTGGAAAAAATTATTTCAAAATCTGATGTTGGAATTTTTCTAGGATATTTATCGACAAGCACAGCTTATAGAGTCTTTAACAAAAGGACTCTAGTCGGTTAAGAATCTATGTATATTACCTTTGATGAATCTAATTTTCTTCATCAAGAGAGAGATATTACTTATGATTTAGGATTGAAAATTCCATTCGAGCAAATGAATATCCAATATCAAAACAAGGATGATCCTAAAAATCTTGGAGACAATCACAAGAAAGAAGCAAATAATCAAAATGATGTAGTAAAATCTACCGAAAGTGATCCAACTCTATCTAAGGAATTGATGTTTGTTTCCTCTTACCCAAAAAAACGTAATATTGGAGATCCATATAAAGGTATTACTATTAGAGCTTCTACTAGAAATCAATTTCATAGTTGTGCATTTATTTCTCAAATTGAACCAAGAGATTTTAAAGAGGCCAAATTTGATAAATTTTGGATTTTAACTATGCAAGAAGAACTAAATTAATTTGAAATAAACCATGTTTGAGATTTAGTCACTAGATCAAATGATCAAACTGTCATTGGCACAAAATGGGTTTTTAGAAATAAACATGATGAGAATGAGATAATTGTGCGTAAAAATGTTAGATTAGTAGCTCAAGGTTACAATCAAGAAGAAGGTATTGATTTTGAGGAATAATTTGCATCAGTTGCTAGATTAGAATTCATTCGCATGCTTATTGTATTTGCTTGCCTTAAAGAATTCACTCGACATCAAGCGGATACTACTCTTTTCGTCAAAACTTAAAAGAATGATATGATTGTTATTCAAATTTATGTTGATGATATTATATTTAGTGCAACTAATATTTGGCTTTGTGAAGAATTTTCAAAATGCATGAGCAATGAATTTGAAATGAGTATGATGTGAGAACTTCAATTCTTCGGCTTCAAATTAAGTAAACTAACGATGGAATATTTATTAGTCAAAATAAGTATTTATTAGATATGCTCAAAAGGTTCAATATGCAAGAATTAAAGCCAATGAACACTCCGATGAGTTCATCCGTAAAATTAGACAAAGATGACAAATGCACTTCCGTTGATGTAACAAAATATCGAAGTACGATAGGATCTCTTCTTTACTTAACCGCAAGTAGATCCAATATTATGCTTAGTGTGTGCTTATGTGCTAGATTTCAATCTAATCCCAAAGATTTTTATCTCAGTACCGTAAAACAAATTTTTAGATATCTTAGTGGCACAAGAACTCTAGGTCTTTGGTATCCAAAGGGCACTCACATTGATCTACTTGCTATTCGAATATCTATTGGGATGGTTGCACAATTGATCATAAAAGCACTAACAGAACATGTCATTTTCTAGGCTTTGCACATGTGTCATGGTTTAGTAAGAATTCAAATTTCATGGTATTGTCTACCACCAAAACCAAATATATCTCAGCCGCTAATTGTTGTGCACAAGTTCTATGAATGAAACTGACACTTAGCGAGTATCAGTTAACTTTTGACCATATACCTATTATGTGTGATAACACGAGCACTATAAAGCTTTAAAAAATTTCGTCTTGCATTCTCAAACAAAGCATATTGAAATTAAACACAACTTTTTATGAGATCATACACAAAAGGAGATATTGTGTTAGAATTTGTAAACACTGAAAATCAATTGGCCGACATTTTTACTAAACCTCTAGATCTTGATAGATTTTTGCATATTCAAAGAGGTTTGGGTATTTTAGATGAAATTG